CTGTAATCTGAGATCTACCAAAGAAGAATGCATGCATATAAAAATGAAACAGAATCTGACTTTATTTGTGCTTTTTCTCTTATTTTTTTTTAATCTTTTCTATCTTTCCCCCAGTTTGTCATCTCTTTCATCATCATCATCTTTTTCTTTTCTCTTGCTAATCTGACCCTCCCCATCTGTCAACTTTGGCATCGGTACACTATCTGTTTATTAAAATGAATAAAAAAAGAAATTGACTAAGAAGAGGCATCTATAGAGAGTTCATAGAGCAAGGCAAGAGTGTTTGGCTCAACAGATCATGATCCTGCTTGCTGAAGCTGCCGAACAACACAGGTTATAGAAAAAAAACCCTGACCAACACACAATGTACAGTCAGTGTTTGGTTAGTTAATTACATGGTGGAGCCCAGACTACACTGTTGTGCTGTGTGTGGTTATTTTTAGTGCCGGTTGGTTCACACCTGCCTCCTGCACCCCTCATAACTTATAGCTCTTCTAGGGTGTATTTCTCTCCTGGGCCTATCTTTTAGATGCACGCACACTGTTTTTTTTTTCTGTCATGTGTGAGCTCTGTATTCTTTTTTGGTCTTGTGTAATACATTTACGGCAGAACTAATGGATGCTTGTTTGGCTACTCTGACTGTGCGGTGAATGACTCACAGTGTTAGCAGCTCCAATAGGAAACCTGTTCTCCTCTTAAAGCTGAAATAATTGACAGCACCTCATCTGCCAGCTCATCTAAATACAGCAACCTGTACTTGTGTTAACAGGAGGCAGAATCCAGGTCAAGTCATTATGGCATCATCAATTAAAATAGCATCACTGTCAAACAGCTGCAGTGCAGGCTGTTTCGTGCCTGTTCTATGAGGCAGGCTTCACTAAGACAGCAAGATAAGATGACAGTGTTTTTTTGTTTCCGCGCAAAAGTTCAGTTGCAGGTACAACACCAGTGCGTCACCAGGCCAGGATTTGATCAGCTACTTTAGTTTGATTAGATGTCTGCTGCTGCTCTTTTGGAAATGTAAGTTTACACACAGCAACTCCTGCCCCCTCCAAAACCTTGGACCCACAACCTAACAGTCGATGTAATGGGAAGTGTCAGCATGTTGTTTGTTACATCAGATCACATGTGACATAGTCCACGGCACTTACCTCAGGTTCAAACCCCCCAAAACAACCCCCCGCCATTTTCCGTGTCACTTTCACACTCCCTCTATAGCTTCTATGTCCCCAGAGTGTGTACCAGAAATAATACTGCCACTGAAAAACGACAGCTTATCATGTCTGTGCACACTCCCGGGCTTCATATGGAGTCGCACATACACGTATTCACACACCTCACACCAAATGGCGTCCAGGTATTATGTATTTAAAGTGGCAACCTGCTGTTTTCTGTTCCTCCTGGTCTCCTGTGGCTGTCAGGGGCCTCTGATACCGCTGTTTAATGAGCAGAGGCTGGCCTGCTTCTGTTGTTGTCTGTCTGCCGTTGCAGCGCTGACCAGAGGAGACACGCAGGTCTGAGTCCCAGGGCTAATTGCTGCTGCTGGGCTGATAGTCTTTCTGTGCTCCACTCTCATTGACTCCCCAGACTCCGGAGGGATTCCCTCAGGCACCCAAAGACAAACAAACCTGGGCGGACAATCAATAGCGGATGGAAGAGTTAGCACTCAGCACAGTGTCTGATTAAGATTCCCCAGGAATGTATGTGTTTATGTGAAACAGTGCGAGCTTGCAGGAGTGTTTGCTGATTGTCCTCACTCTGCCGGTGCTAACTGGAATCTTCAGTCAGTCCCTAAGTGCTTGTTTATGTGCTTTTGATTATGAGCATCAGAGTTCACAACAGCAGCAAATTAATGCTTCAGGTAATTATTCACGCAACATCGCAGGTTCACAACGTAGTCGTGTGAGAGCAGATAATGTGCTAACAGTGAAAAGTAAAACTGCGTGTGCCACTTTCTGTTAGCCCCAGGTATTACTTTGACTTTTTCCTCTCCTGTGTGTCATTTTTTTGTTTCTGCAAGTAAGAATTCATTTTAAAAAGTTGCATATTACGTTAAAGCATAATTTAAAGCTAGGGGGGAAAGATATCACATAGGTTTTCACATTTTGGTGTAGAGTTCACATCTTTTTACATTTAAACTAATTGCATTTTGTGGGTATTTTTTTCTATAGGCTGTAGTTTTGTATTATTCTTTTCCATTTACTCAAATTAGGGTGTTTTTCCTCCCTTTTTATGTTATTTAATTCCATAATAATAAGTCAATTTATCTCATTTACAGCTGAATGAAATATCCTACTTTATGTCTAGCATTGTTTCTAATGTAGCAGTATTTAAATAATACATTGGGAAATTCACTGCCTGCTATGTCCAGTGTTAATAGTTAAGGATTTTAAAGTTGCTTCTACAAGGCCAAGTGTACTGGTTAAAAAGGGGTTTTGTGATAGTGTTTTATTGTGTCTGCTGTTTGTGTTATTTCTGTAGCCTCATCCAGAAAAGCTGCTTATGGCATGACGTGTCCCTGTGTACCACTGACTGCCACTGGCTAGTGAGCAGCACGGTGATGTAGTGTCATCTCGCCTCTCCTCACCCTCTCATCCCCTGTCCACCCCTGCTCTCTGGGCTCGTGTTTGCTTTTGTTCTTGTCTCCAGTCAGCCTGACTCACGGTGATCATCTTGACCAAGCGCGGGGAAAGGTCAAGGTTGCAAATTGCCTCAAAGCAATCAGCCTTGTCTCTCTCTGCGCTACAGCGCAAACTCTCCGTCTCTGTCGCCATCTTTGCCCTGTCTCCATCTTTAGTCTGTCCTCCTCCATCTCTGTGTTTACCCGGGGTGGGGGGGGCAGTTAGCTGTGCGACAGGGAGGTTTGGCAGCTTGAGCGAGGTAAAGGCGGTCAGCCCTGCTTTGAAGTCTCAGCTCTGACCGGCAGTGGGGCGAGGGACTTAAAAGCACACAGTGTCACTGCCTGGGTGACATTTCAACACAGAGCAGCGTAGCCCAGTAGGGTGCGCTTGTACACACCAATCATCAACAACATTAAAGCCACTGACAGATAAAGTGAATAACACAGAGCGCATTGTCACAAGAATTCATGTGAACATGCACGTGGTCACTTAAAAATTATTTCAGTACTTTGGAGTTTTAGGAAGGTGACTTTATTGTAATTCTTATAGCCTTTTTTGCCTGTGCACTAAAGCATATATTGATACACACTTGGTACCTCGGTGTACATGCACATGGTGTGTGAGCCATGGCTAGATGTAAGATTTGCGTGCATTTCGTAACTCAAGGACAGCTTCCTTTGGATCACCTGTGCATTCGAGTTCATTGTGCCTGAGTGGCTCTAGCCCAATAGCTTCTCACACATGAAAGACTTCACTTTCACGTGTCACGCAATAGACACAAACACAGCTGAACAACATCAAAGTCTGCCAGCAGCCTGTAGCCGCACAAATGTCTTCATCTACCACCTGATTGTTTCTGCACGTCTCTCTGTCTGTCCTGTAAATGGTGTAAACAGGTGTTAACATGTCAGCCCCCACAGGACGCCACATGCTGTGGTGTCATGATCTTCTGAACAGCTGTCCCCTAGCAGTGTGTGTGTGTGTGTGTGTGAGAGAGTGTAAGTGAGTGTATGTGTTCACTGTGAGGGTTATAAATGAGGGCAAGAGGAGATTTAGCCCTAGTTTTGTGCAGAGCCAAGGACAAACAAAGAGAAAGGGCAAAGAATGAGAGGGGGCCTCACGGCTGTAAGCAACACATTCACCAGCTCACCAAATCCTGAAACTTAATCAGGACCTCTTTCACATTTAACACACACTACTCTTTTTTTTTTACGTTTGAGGGAGTAATCCAGAATATAACAATGCTGTGAGAAAGTATTTGTCCCCTTCCCGATTGCTTTTTCCCCCCATATTGTTCACATATAGCCCTGACAAGGATAAGCGGTTTTGGTCACACTTGCATGTTTCAGATCATCAAACAATTTCAAAGATTAGACGAAGATAAGACAAATAAATAAAAATACGTGTTAAATTATGATTCGTTTATCAAGTGAAAAAAATGTAAATCTTCCTGATCTTATGTGAAAACAATTTCACTAGCCACATGCAGGCCTGACTACTGTGAGACCTGTTGGACTGCTTAAATATAACCTGACAAAGTGAAGAAGACTAAAAGATCTCAAGGAGAAGCATCTAACCACCATCTAATGAAAGAGCTGAGAAACAAAATCATTGGCATGATCAGTCTGGAAAGGGTTTCAAAGCCATTTCTAAGGCTTTGGGATTCCAGTGAATTATGGTGACAGCCATTGTCCCCAAATAGAGAAAACTTGGACAGTGGTGAACCTTCCCAGGAGTGGCCAGCCTACCAAAATTATTCCAAGAGTGTATCAGCAACACATCCAGGAGGTGACAAAAGAACCCAGAACAACATCTAAAGACACGCAAGGCTCACTCGCCTCAATTAGGTCAGAGTTCACAATTCAGCAATAAGAAAGACACTAGGAATAAATGGCATCGTTGAGGTAGTTCCGTCGCAAGCAGGATGCAGCGTTTACAAATAAAATTCAACATTTGTCTCATCAGTCCAAAGAACATTGGTGTGATAGTGTGGGTCCACGACAACCTGCTATAACTGATGGATCCCTGAATTCTGCTCTGTACCAGAAAATCCTGAAGGACAATGTCCATCCGTCAGTTTGTGCCCTGAAGTTCAGGCACACTTATGCAGCAGCACAATGATTAAAAACACATTAGCAAGTCCATCTCTGAATGACTAAAAAACAAAACAAAATGAAGGTTTTGGAGTGGCTTATTTAAAGTCTTGACTTAAATTTGACTTAAATTTCAAAATCTGAGCTTTTACAATTATAACCTTCTGTTACACACCCAAAGCTTTAACGAGACAAGCTTAAGATTAAGTACTTTTATTAAGTTTAATAGTAAGATTAATAGGGAGCTAATGTTACCTGTGATATAAATGTGTGCTTCTGTCCTCAGGTGGACGTGGAGACACTGGACTACCACCACTACCTGCCACTGTTCTTTGATGGTTTAACTGAGACTGCTTTTCCGTATGAGCTCTTCGCCCGCCAGGGAATCCATGACATGCTGGACCGCGGAGGCCCCAAGATCCTGCCTGTCATCCCCCAGCTCATCATGCCCATCAGGAGTAAGTCTGGGAGGGTGCCCGCACTCACGGTTTACCAACCACACAAAACAGAGCTCCTCTCTCACGTGACCCAGTGTGTCATGTCATTTTACCTTCGCTTCACTCTCTCGTTTTCTCAGGGAAATGTATAGTCACCTGGAGACAAATCCAAGTCAGTTACAGTGTTAGTAGAAGCGAGGAGCCGGATTTAACATGAAAATCACATCTTTAAAGCTAATTAGAAGGAGAGAGAAACCACAGATGAAGTTTTAAATATGTGTAACTTGACGGTTTTAATGATTACTTTTCAGGGCTAAAGTCTGCTTTGCAATCACACAGAGTTATTATCATGGCAATTTTCTGTGATGTTAAAATATAGCAGCCTTTCAATTAGCTTTGGCAGCAAAATGTCCTCATCATCTTCATCATCATTTACATTACTTTTCCAAACCTTTGTATATGTAAATATTATTATTATTTTAACACTGATAGACAGCAGAGTAATCATCTCAGACTTGAACTGCAGCCTTAATAAATATTTTTGCATGTCATTATTTCATTATTCACTATTTGGTGGCAGCCTCATTAGCTTATGATCTCTGACACTAAAAGGCATTCCTTTTAGTGGAATTACTGAACCCATGAACTGGCTAGGAAATTGTTCACTGAGGTTTCAGGAGGAGAGAGTCATTGTACTGCAAGGCCTCTGCTTCTACGTAAGCAGAGGTCTTTTTGCAATCACAGCCAATGTTGGCTTCACTATACGGGCATGGAGGCTATATCTGCCGTTACGCTGTGGGAAGCAGGCAGGAAAGGACCCAAAATGCAGGACTCTCAGAGACGGAACTGAACTCAAAACACAGCTTTATTGCTGGAATTACAGATTACAAAACTAAAACTGTAACAAGTAACAAGTAAAGTAAGGAATTACTATTGCAAAAAAGGTAATTCGATTACTGTTACTTTCCCTTTAGCACGCTGCGTTACTGCGTTACTAAAACTGATCTTTTTGCAAGAGTGTCTCATGACAATGACGTAAGCGACTGCGACGTTTGTGGCAACAGCTGTGTGCAGATCAAAAATGGATAATATAATGAGTGCGGGAGAGTTTAATTCTGTAAAAAGTGACAAAAACATTAGCGTCCGCTGTTCACTGCGTGGGAAGAAAACCTTTTACAGCGAAAAAAAACCCTAAACTTCCAAGCAAGCACCGAGTGCACTGCCACTGGAATGTGAAATTCACAGAGAAACTGCCGTATCCTTCCACTGATCACCTGCACCAGGGCAAACCTCCGCCTGCCCCACTCCTGCTATACAGATGAAAATAGAGCAACAGGACCGCTGGGTCATTGATTTTATTTATTTTCTGCTGTGTTTTACTTGCATCTATTTGAAAGAGTGAGTGTAAACACAAAAAACTATTTTATTTTATGTGCTTGAATGTGGTTTAAATGTTAAACAAATTCCTTCCAGTCAGAGAATGTTGCATATAATTTAATGTATGCTTGATGCATAAAGTTAAAAGATTAAAACTAATGAAACAAGTTTTAAAAAGAGACTTTTTCATTTGGTTGCATTTTATATGATGGATTATGCAGAAAAAGTAGAATTGGGCTGAAAGATCTCTTGCTTTATTACCTATTTAGGGTGTAAATCCTGTTTTAAAAAGTAACTAAGTCACTAATTAGTTTTGAAAATAAGTAATCAGTAAAGTAACAGGATTACTTTTTTTTCGGGAAGTAATCGGTAATCAGTTACTGATTACTTTTTTCAAGTAACTTGACCAACACTGCTGATGAGAAACTGAACATTTTGCACACAAGACAAGTGACTATCAGAATAAAACAGGAAGTGACAAGAGCACTGAGACTTGGACAAGGACATTTGAGCTTTACACTACAGGGGATAAAAAGACATGGAAGCAAGCAATAGCCAAACTAGAACATAAGAATCACATGACAGACATGACCTAAAGACAGAGAGTGAGAGAGCAAGGGACAAGAAAGAGAGAGAGACAGACATCACAGGGCGCTACAACAACACAGGAAACTAGACACAAGAGGACGGGGAACACAGAGAGGAATGATAACAGAAAACCTAAAGCCTAGATAACAAACTAAGGCTACAAACGGAGATCACAACTATAATAATGAAATACTAGGAACAGAATATTAAATAAACCTGAATCAAAAGTCAAAACACAAAAGCTGGGTCATAGACTGGGACCATGAAAATGAATTTCCAACCGTGAATATCTAACTTTCACATTTGAAAATCACTCAAATAAAGGGCCTGGTAACGTTATAGTTAGGAGTAAGGGGCAAGAGTTAGAGGGTTAATGAATCTGACCTTAATGAAAATGGATTTCTCACTTTGGTTTTATAGATAATATATATTTATTATATTTACATACATATCTTTCTTAGACTTTTCTCAGACTTTGCTTTGGAGATTCGATGCAACAAAAATAGAACAACATGTTTTACCAGGAAAAGAATCACCTGTCTTGCAGTCTGCTGCTACAGCCGCTTCTAATATTATACAACCAGTCCTGATGTGGCGTCCTAATTTGGTTTCGCTGTCATACAGTTCCTATTATTGCATTAACCCTCAGGGTGAAGCGTCCTTGTTTTTTTTTTCTGTTTTTCTATTTTTCATTTGCCGGAAGACGCTGGCTCTAAAAGTATGCCTGATAATCTGCAATGAATGTGATGACATGCTACATTTAACTCTGTCATCATGCTGTGCCTCCTTAACTTTCCAGGCTGACACGTTTACACGCGTGCGCACAGTCTCTCTCACACACACACACACATACACACACATGTTTAAGGAGGGCCGAAAGGTTGTGCCTGAGGGCGAAGTGGTGTACGACTTCAAAAATAGACTTCGGAATTCATAGGGATGCGAACGGGAAAGGTTTCATGTGCAGCAAGAACAAGGAAGAACAAGGAAAGAAGAAGTTGGAGGAATGCAAAGTGTGGCTTTGTTGAAAGAATTTCAGCACATGCACAGGCACAAAGTCTCAAACACACACACACACACACACACACACAGAAACTCTTTTGTTTGGCGCCACTGCCAAGTGGAGTGTCAGTTTCAAAGTGGGAGCCTTTAAGTGGCGCCCAGTGAGCCTGCGGTAGTGTTCATGTCATGGGCAGTTGGCTGGGGGTGTGTACGTGTGTGTGCTTCTTGTTTATGTGTGGGTGTTGGATGTCTGTGGAGGCAGAGGGGCATGACGGCCAACACCAGGCAGGGCTGTTGGAGACACAGAGACACGGTGACAGACTGACCCTGGCAGAAAGTCGCACTGAGCACAAGCTGCTCGGTCTTAACTGTTTCACATCATACAGTGTAACAACTCCGAAGTGTCGTGTGTGCGTACGCTTTACTGCTTTATAACAACCCAGATTCCCAAAAGTTGGGATGCTCTGTGGAATGTAAATAAAAGCAGAATGCAGTGATTTGCAAATTTCATAAAACAATATTTTATCAAATGATTATGTGAAAATCTACCATTTTAAGAAAAAGAGACAGGCATATGTTTTTCGATGTGTAGCATCTCCTTCTCATTTAACAACAATAAATGAACTCAGGAGACCAGTTGGTGGACTTTTAGGAGAGCAGTGTTGTCCCAAATTTGGTCTGATGTAAGATTCTAGCTGGTTCGCTGACCTTGATCTCTGTTGTCATAGTTTTCTTTTTATAATGTGACAAACATTTCACTTGTGGGAAGGTCTGGACTATAGGCTGGCCAGTTCAGCAACTTGTACTCTTCTACTACAAAGCCATGCTGTTATGATTAATGTGGTTTAGCATTGTCTTGCTGAAATATGCTAGCTCATTCCTGAAAAAGCCACCTGGGTGTGAGCATGTTGCTGCTTTAAAACCTGTATTTACAGCTCAGGATTGACAGTGGCTTTCAGATGTACAGGCTTGTTTTTCCATCTGAGATGCAGCTTTTGTGGCTTCTTCTTTGCATGATAGAACTTCAACTTACATTTTTGGGTGGCACAGAAAACTGTGATTTCAGGCAGTGATTTCCATGTTTCTAATGCAGTGCCACCTAAGGGCCTAAAGATCACAGGCATCTGGTGTTGAATGTCAAGCTCGCCCTTTGTGCACAGAGTTTTCTCCAGATTCTCTGAATCTTTTGATTGATTTTTTTTTCTCTTGTTCAAATCCACCTTCTCGTGTTGAAGCTGGTGAAGATGGCCCTTCCTTTCCTATGCTGTGAGATTGAGGGTTACTCCAACCAAAACCTGCAGCTGGTGGAGAATTGGTTCATGAGATGCCACTACACTAAGCAGAGCAAGGACTACCAGCTGCAATTCAACCCCGCTCAGCTGGAGTTTGTTGATAAATGAGATAACCAGTCAGTGCTTCAAAGTTTTTTGTCAATAAGTATTTATATTAATAATTAATTTAAGCACTGGTTTGCCTTCTTTTGCTTGCACAAGTGTGTTTGCAACCTCCTCTACCACCACAGATAGATTGTAAGTCTCTATACAGGCACGTGAAAGCAAAATGTCTATTTGGCCCTCTGTAATGAAGCACTCACTTTACACACAACTAATCATTATACACAGTGGTACTTGGCTACTCAGTAACCCAGACAGCATTTTATAAGTTCAAACCGCTCAGCAGTTTTGGCCATTTGCCTTCTGGAGGCCAGACCAAAGGTGATGGTTATGCCCCTAATGAAAACACACACTTCGCCCTGATAATGGAATTCTAAATGGCTTGCTCCTTATTAACTTTTTCGTTTATTAAAAATCAGTCCCGTTTTGCCATCCACAAGGCAAAACCGCCAGTCCGTGTCTCTGTTGCAGATTAATTACTTTTCTATGGCGTTGGAAAGAAGGAGGGATGGCAGAAAGAGGAAGAAAGTAAAAAGCCATCCACAGTTTAAAATGGCAAGATATATATTTTTCTCCTCTGACGTTAATACATCTTCAATGTGGCTGGCAGACTCTTATCTGCAGAGCGACTGAGCCACATCAGGCCCTGGTGAATTTTGA